TTCTTCCTCAGGGATGTGTTCTGGGTCTGTATCTGCTCCCTTGTTTCTTCCACTTTATCCTGCTTCTTTGTATGGACTGTGATGGTCTGTTGTCTCCGAGGCTTCATGGCATTGTGTTTAGATCTCTGTCAACTGTTTGTGAAGAGCAGCTAAAGGTGAGTCAGGGTCTTCTTGGTGGTTGTTTATTGTTGGCCCATTGGTAGAGAAGGAAGTGGTGGCTCTCAGTAAGTGAAGCTGCCTGAGGTGCAGGTGTAGTTGTGTCATATGGGACTGTTGCTGTATCCCACTCAGTTAGACAAAAATAACAATTGAATAACCATCAAAAAAGTAAAAGCAAATGGACAAAAAACACAGTGTAATCACACAGGAACAATAACCAAAAAAACAAAAAAAGAAAAGAGGAAAAAAAAAACACCTCACAATATCGGAGGAGAAGGTAATAAGAGAAAAAAGGTAGAGTAGGAGAAAAATGAGGAAAAGTATGGGAAAAATGCAAAAAGAAAAACAGGGTTAACCACAAGAAAGAAAAAAAAAAAAATCAGAACCAGGAACAGGAAAAAGAGAAAAAGCTGAAAACTAGAACCTGAAAAGGGAAGATTAAAAAAATGATAATAATAAAAAGGACAACAACAATAATAATAATTTAAAAACAGACAAAAACAAACAAACTAAAATAAAAAGAAAAAAAATCAGGGCAGGGCATGACAGGGCACCCAGGCTCTGTCTGAGCACACAGACTGGGATGGAAATCCTGCCAACCTAGAGGGTAGATGGGACTGAGGGACAGCCACACCTCCGTTCATCAAGAGGGTGTGGGGTATAAGAGTAACAAGGGGAATGTCACACCTTTCCAATTGTCAGCATCTGGAATGTCCTTGTGGTTCCCAGCAAGTGGAGCCTGTTCCTAAGTCCCTGGAATCTGCGAGAATGCTGTCTCTTTAAATATCCAAAATGGTCAAACTGCTTGTAAACATTCAAAATGGCTGCACTCTCTGGACAGGCAAAGTCCACAGCTCAGCCCACCTTCCTCTTCACTGCTTCCCCTTTTATTCACCAGCCACCAGAGCAGTCCTCCATGCAATCCCTGGCTAGCAGGGCTGATTTTTAGGTTAATTCTTAGGTCCTACCACCACTCAGCAATATCCAAGCTCTGTGTGCTGTCAGGATCGCTGCCAGACCGCAGCTCCATATGTCTCCTTTTTTGGTATTTTCATGCAAATTATTCTACTAGTTGGAGTGTAGTCCACTTCTAAATCCTTCCCTTCAAAGTTCAGGGCTCCAGGATTATCTTCTGTATCTGTGTGAATTCGTTCCCCCTTTCTTTGTTGAAGAGTGCAGTCTGTGCAGTCTTTCTGCCTATTCAGCCATTTTACCAGAACTGCCTTAAAGCCTCACAATGTACCAAATGTGAGTGATCAACATGGTGGCATTGAGGAAGAAGAAGACAGAGAAATCAAGTAAAAAAAAAAAAAAAAAAAGCTTCCACTTGTGGTATTTCTGTTACAACAGCACTAGATAACTAAGATACAAGCCAATATGCAAGACAGCATTTTCCTCTGCTATATATTTGCTGAATCTTTGCTTTCTTTTGGACAAAAGCCAATATTCTATTTTGGGGCAATTGTTTTGTTTTTGTTTGTACTGAGAGATACAGTATAAAAATGATTGATATCGCCTGAACTTTTTTACCTTTACCTATTTTTTATTCATGTCTCTATGTTCAACGTGAGGAGCCCTAGTAGTAGAGTGGTTAAGGCACTCAGCTGCTTACCAAAAGCTGCTCCATGGGAGAAAAATGTGGCAGTTTGCTTCTGTAAAGACTTGTTATATTGTTGTTAGTTCAAGTCATTTTTCCTCAAACAGAGCTCAATAAACCACTTTCTCATGTGGAAATAAAAGCGACTAATGCAAATAAAAGGAGCCCTGGTAGTGCAGTGGTTAAGTGCTCAGTTACTAACTGAAAGGTTGGTGGTTCCAACCCACCAGCCACTCCATGGGAGAAAGATGTGGCAGTCTGTTTCTGTAAAGATTTACAGCCTTGGAAACTCGGTGAGGAAGTGCTACCCTGCTAGAAGGTAACCAGTTCGGTTAACAAAAATACAGAGCCTTAGTGGTACAGTGGTTAATGTTCAACTGCTAATTGAAAGGTCAAGGTTGACAGCTTGAATCCACCAGCCCCCACATGGGAGGAAAATGTGGCAGTCTGCTCCTGCAAAGATTAAAAAAGAAAAAAAAAAGCTAACTCAATGCCTTTGAGTCTAGTTAATTTCGACTCATAGTGACCCGTCCTTGGGTTTCTGAGGCAGTATCTCTAAGGAAGTAGATTGTCCAACCTTCCTTCCAAGGAATGGCTGGTGGGTTTGAACCATCAGCCTTCTGGTTAGCAGTCAAATGACTTAGGCACTACACCACCAGAGCCTTGAAAACTCTATGGGGCAGTTCTAGTTTAGGGTCACTACAAGTTCACTCATAGGTTCATGATGAGTCAGAATTAACTTGATGGCAATGGGATTTTTCTTTAGTTTAATGAAAATACAGATCAAATTTTACTTGAAAAGTATACATGTGCATGTTGTAGTTGCTGTCAGGTACTATCCAGTTGGTTTCACTTAGAGCACCCCTCTGTAAAACAGAACTTAACACTTCTGGCTCCTGCACCATCCTCACCTTGGAAACTCTATAAGGCAGTCTACTCTGTTCTAGGGTTGCTATGAGTAGGAGCTGATCCAATGCCAGTGAGATCCTTAATGCCTAGCCCAATGTTTGGCACATAGTAGGTATTCAATAAATATATATTTAATTGTATCTGATTGAAATTCACTATGTGCTCTAGTCATCTTAGGAAGGTGGAGGAGCAGGTTTCTAGAATCCTAGTATCAGGCGTCTCTGTGTGTGTATGGCTACATATACAATACACATACAACACACAGACATGTGTAGTCCTTATACTGCACTCTGAAAATGTGAAAAACCCAAAAAGGAAATATTTAATCATTTCTCTCTATTTGCACAGTTTCTTAGAAAGTTTATACAAATGGGAAATTTTTTCACTGCTAGATACTTCACATGCAAAATGTAGCTAAGTTCTCTTTGTATTGTTTTCATAATTGGGCAGAAACTGTATATGACTACATTAAAGTGCTGAAAGGAAAAAAAAAAAAAAACCCACAACTTTAAGGTTACATCTAAGCAGCTAAAATAGACAAACAAAGCAACAGAATAATGCTTCTGAGAGATTATGGGCCTAACTCAGAATCATCTATAATGGAAGAAGTATAGGCTGGGAAGTGATCAGAAAGAAGATATTCCAGGAGTTGTTGTTGTTGTTGTTATGTGCCGTGGAGTCGGCCCTGACTCATAGCGACCCCTCCTTGGGTTGCCGAGGCAGTATCACTATGGAAGTAGATTGCCCCATCTTCCTTCCGAGGAGTGGCTGGTGGGTTT